AAGGACAACATAAGAAGATATTAACTTCTCAAAAGTCATACAATGTGATAGATTGCAAGAATTTTAATATAATTTCTTAATGATATCTTTCAGAAAAGATGTGTGTGTGAACACGTGTGCATGCATGAATGTGTGTGTGTGTGTGTGTGTGTCTGTCTGTCTGTCTGTCTGTCCGTGTACTCCTGAATGCCATACCACACACAGGGAAGTCATAGGACACCTTTGTCACAAATCTGTTCTCTCCTCCCACCTTGTTTGTGAGTCAGCATCTGTATTATAATGCTGATGCCCTACACGCATGCCTGATGCTCCTAGTGCATCTCCCATTGCAGATGCCTGTCACCGCATGACTGCATGTAGCTTTATATGTGAGTTCCAGGGACTGAACCCAGGCTTCAGGTGTGCGGAAAGTGCATTTCCATGCCTAGTCTTCTCTTCAGCGTTTCATAAGATTTTGTTCTAAGAAATGTCGTGGCAATATGTGGTTACTGTAAAAGACTGTTATAAAAACAGCACAATAGTACACTTGCTAATGCCAGCCTCCTGGGATCCCAGTGTTTAGAATAGCATACTATCATGGAGCCTTAGGTACCATCCTCCACAACCCCACAGGGTCCAGGAAAGATTCCCTATGGCAGGTGAAAACTGGCTGGGGAAATGATCTGATGGGTAGTACAAACTGATGGACTAGAACATGTTCCTCCTGTGTGTTTCTTTATTCCTTGGGGAAGGTAGCGAAGACAAAGAGGAAGAAGAAGAAGAAGAAGAAGAGGAGGAGGAGGAGGAGGAGAAGGAGGAGGAGGAAGAGGAGAAAAGTCATTCTCCACAAAGTTTTCAGTTTTTATACGCATACAGACAAGTTAGCAGTTTCATAGTTGGTAATGAAGTATTGAGCATGCATTTTCACAGACTCACAAAAACTGGGGAATCTGACAAAGAGGCACCTTATGTCTTAGTGACGGCAATGACTGTGAAGCTCTCCAGCCGATATCAGGAGGATATCAATTAATAATGGGACTTTTTAATCACTACAGAATTCTAAGAAGTTTTTGTACACTAACTACATTTTTCTTAAACATTTATTTATCATGAATGCAGTGTTCTGCCTGCATGCCAGAAGAAGGCACCAAATCTCACTGTAGATGGTTGTGAGTCACCATGTGGTTGTGGGAATTGAACTCAGGGCTTCTGGAAGTACAGCCAGAGCTCTTAACCTCTGAGCCATCTCTCCAACCCCCATATTTCTTAATTATAACTAGAAGTTAATGATTAATTGCTGAAAAACACAACAGTGGTTGTGTTCTCTGGTCTTTCTGCTTTCTTCCCTGGTGGCTGTGATCACACTGTTGGTAGCTATGACTTGATTGGCATTAGTGTTCAGCTGGCTGAGCTAAAAGGGAGTTTTTTGGAGGTTTTGAAAACTTTTGATTCCAGCAGGGTACCTGACAATATCCAAGTGAGGACTGATTTCTGAGATTGATTTATGGACTCACGACTTTGTCCTGTGTCTCTAGGGGTAAACGTAAAAACAGTTAGTTTACTGGGCTATGATCTTCTGTTAACAGAATATTAATATCTTGTTAGGTTAGAGGAAAGGGCCAGTAGTTTACAACTTCCAGAGTCTGCTGTTAGAGCAGACATACTGCCTCCTGTTTGAGTCTCCTTACTTATCAGTGAGTGCTGTCAATAAAGAAACTTGTGGGGGGTTACTTTTATGTAGACTTTGGCTAGGAGAATGAAGGTTTGACTGAGTGAATGCTTTCACATCAGGCTTCATGGTGTTGAGGGAGGTATCTGGTTACCCTACAGGAAGAGTCAGGTTTACACTTTAGAAGAAGTGCTATGATCCCATGAGGTTTCTACAGAATTAAAGTGATTTATCCAAAAGACAGGAGTTCCCGAAGTTCTGAAAAACAGGTTCTTCACAATATAATATTTTTTGTGTGAATTTGTCTAATGGTCCGTCAGCGGTACTTTTACTGAATAGTACTTGTGGACTCACCACAGCATACTCACTAAAGCTGTTCTCAGTGCAACATTTTAACAGAACATTAGGTGGTTCCTTACTCCTGAGTACTTAATTACTTTTCATCCATAAATACAAGGACATCTGCTTACCTATTGTAGTACAATTGATAAAAACATAGAGACAGAAATTGGGGTTCAGCCTGAATGTCAGAAAACCAAAACAGCCAGCCCGTGGCTCTTCCCTCTACCTCCCTATGAAATGAGGAGCCTGCCTCCAGGAATCTCAGATGAGACTGTGTGTGAGAGCTGTCTCCTCCCATCTTATATCGTTCTCTCTAGGGCTGGGATTAAAGTTGTGAGCTACTACTGTCCAATTTCTGTGGCAAACTAGTGTGGCTGCCTGTTAGATGAAGGGGGCCGGCTTGTTGGGGTTTCTGTCCCGCCCGGTACCCCCCAGCTGGCAAACCCCAAGGAAATCAATCACACAGAGATCTCTATAAGTTATAAACTGATTGGCCCATTAGGTCAGGCTACTTATTAGTTCTTATAACTTATATTAACCCATTATTCTCATCTATGTTAGCCATAATGGCTCCGTACCTTTTTCAACTGTGACAGCTTACATGCTGCCTCTTCAGTGGTCTGCGCAGGAATGGCAGAGGGAGTTTCCTCCTCCCTAGCCTTATCCTATTCTCATTGCCCCGCCTCTACTTCCTGTCTGGTTGACCTGCCTATACTGCCTGCCTGGCCAATCAGCATTTTATTAAAATATGATTGACAGAATACAGACAATTCTTCCACACCAGCTGCCGGGATTAAAGGTGTGTTTTACCATTGCCTGTTCTGTAAGGCTGATCAGTGGTACTGATTTACTCTCTGATCGTCAGGCAAGCTTTACTTATTAAAATACAAAGGAAACATTACTCTAAGCTATAAACTCTGTTCTTAACTATGAAAATTAATGATTTCTTTATATCCTTATCCTTGTCTGACCACATTTATCTATATTCCTCAAACATCCTTTGTTGTATGTTATCAGTAGGAATTTACCATGGTTTTGGTTATCATGTTTGGAAAGAATTGTTCCCTAGTTTTGTGTCCCCATAATCCTTGATATTCCTTCTCACTTTACACATGACAGTGGCTGGTACAAAGACTCTGCCAGTTTGATCTATAGACAATACAACCTCCTGAATTTGTCTAGAAGGATGAGTCCTTAGTTCTGTGGTGCTGTACAGTTGAATAATGTCAATTCATGAAGTCTTAAGAGAGTTGAAAAGACCCTAATATGGAAATGTGAAAGTTTTGAAAAAAGTAGTGAGTGTATCTATATCTCTGTGTGTCTGTCTATAAATGTGTATGTGTGTGTGTGTATCTGTATGTGTGTGGGTCTATGCATGTGTATATGTGTGTGTATGTGTGTTGGAAGGTTGTTAAATGAGTACTAAATTTCTAGAGATAGTTCATCTTCTCATTGCTCAGACAGAGAATTCACTCTGCCAGCTTTTGAGTGTGATAACTCATTACCTAAAATATGTAACATGATAAGGAACAAACAGTAACAGCCATTAACACAGGCTTCATGTCAAGTCTGTCCTGAGCCTCTTTCTACTCACTTGGAAAACCTTCTTCTTTTTCTAGGTGCACATATTTTTGTTCCTCATGATAGTGATATAACAAAATCTTTTATTGCTAGAATAGGCTAGTTCACCAATTGACAATGGCTGTGGATGTTCTTGTTGATAATGATGGTCATTGTTGCTTTAGCCCAGCTCTATAGAGCTTGAGAAAAGGACCAGTATAGCCATGGAGCTGGTCACCGAGCATCCCATTTTGTTCTTGGATGATCCCACCACTGGCTTAGACTGGAGCACTTCTACTGATGTCATCTCGGTCCTGAGAAGGTAAGTGCTGAAGGAACATTGAGTTTTATTCTCTTAATACCTGATCACATGTGTGTATTTTTGGTGCAGGAGATTCAGAGGTAATCTACAAAACTTCTTCCTTGTTTATTAGAAAGAAACTTGAATTAATAAGGAATAAACATCAAGAACAATGAGACAAGAGCATAGGGAAGATGGCTGTGGTGAAGGTGGAGACTGTTTTAAATAGCATGTACCCATAGCACACAAGCATTGGTCAAGTGAGCTGGGGATGTGCTGGTGAGATCCGAACAAAATACAGATTGGAGAGAAAACCTATTTATTTTGAGGCAAAGCATGTTTGGTGTGTCTGGAACATTAGAGAGACAGGGTGGACCAGAACCTGGTGGCCCAAGGAGAAGGAAGATTACTAGTGTACAGCTAAAGACACCACAGGCTGGATGACTTGATAGAAGTTACATTTCTTACAGTTCTGGATCCCGAATGCCAGAAATTAGGGTATCTATAGGCTGTGTCTGCTGAGGCCTGGGTCATTGGGTTGTGCTTGATATCTTCTCTCTATGTGTTTATGCCCTGATCTCAAAGGAAAAGGACACCTTTACTCTATGGCATACTAGTATTATCATTTAAATTTTATTATCTTTTTAAAGACTTTCTCTCCCCTTATAGTCATATTCTAAGTTCTTAGATGTAAAGTATTCCACAAATGAGTCCTTGGAAGGACACAGTTCAGCTCTCTAACTTCACAACTGAATGGAGGGGTTGATCGGGTTGGATGTAGATTGCCTAGATACCCTGGTCCACTGTAAGGACTAAGGTTTTCCATGGCAGGGCATGTGGGAAAGCTTCTGAGTTTAGAGCAGAGCAATGCATCATGGGGAAGGTTCTGCAGCTGCACTATGAGAGTGCAAGATTTCAGCAGGAGGCTGAGATGTAGAGGTTCTTTTGCTAGGAAATCGTAGACTCTAGGTAGCTTCGAATATAGATAAACAGCATTATCTCTAAAATTGGCCTTGGATGTGATGTGAGGAATGATTGCTAAGGTCTTGGTCCTAAACCTAGGGAAGTATGAGTAAAAGAAATTTTATTTTCTTCTCTCACAAAATACGTCTGTGGTTGAAATATTTAAAGAAAATCTGTAAGTGTTGGGTTTTGTACATTTTAGACATTAATTGAATTTCAAACTGACTGGCTAACTCCAAGAACCATGTAAGGACTACCCCATTCCCATGACCTAGGCTCCAGGCCATTTAACTTTGCTGTACTCTCTGTCTTTCCTTTCTTCTCTCTGTTCTTTGCTTTGTTCTGTCACCATGGTCCTTACATACCTCTTCCTATCCCTCTAAGAACCAAGATCAGTTCACTGTTGTGCCTTTCCAGTGATGAAGTCAACTACTGGCGCCTTGCCGCCTACTAGTCTGCAGACACCTCGGGTGTCACCCCCTTCCCTGTCTGTCCCCTTTCCTGTCTGCTTCAGCATACTCTCTAAGACCAGTTTCTTGCTCGTGTTCCCATGTGAAATGCTTCTCTCTGTCCCTGTGTCTTATGCCATTGATTGTATTAGTGCATGGTATGGGGTCATCCCAATTATGGTTTATCCCAGAGTTCTGGGAGCAGATGCAGGCCCTGATATGTTGTGCTCTCCTTGGTCTTTTTTTAAAATATTTTTAAATTTATTATGTATATAATATTCTGTCTGTGTGTATGCATGAAGGCCAAAAGAGGGCATCAGCCCTCATTACAGATGGTTGTGAGCCACCATGTGGTTGCTGGGAATTGAACTCATGACCTTTGGAAGAGCAGGCAATGTTCTTAACCGCTGAGCCATCTCTCCAGCCTCTCTCCTTGGTCTTAATACCCCATGAAGAGTATCCTTGTGGTAGAATCATTTTAGTATTTTTTTCATTTTATCTATCATCTATTTATCTATCTATCTATCTATCTATCTATCTATCTATCTATCTATCTAT